TCCTTCATTTCTCGTAATCGAATAATTTATGGTCTCAAATATTAGTTTATGGGACACCTAAGAAATAAAAGTAATGTAGCAACAAGATGTCGAATCCCTCTTGAAACTCTTACTACTGACCGTCCATATGTATTAAAGAATGAGCAAAAATGCGTCCGATGTGATAGGAATTACTGTTCCATAGATAATTATTGTCAAGTTATTCGAAATTATAAACATTGATTAAAAGACATCGAAGATTGATAACAAAAAGTAAACTGTACTGTAAAAAATCGCAGAATAACAAATATTAATAAAATAATTTATTTGCTGTGAACAAAGCTTTCTGACATTGAAAATAGTCAATAATCTACAGACAAGACATAAATATTGCACCAGCACATCCATACAACTAGACAGTCCAATATGACACAATCATTAGACAATTGCAAACGAATATAAAACACAGTCAATCAACTGAAAATTTGACTTGAAAAATGTTACGCTCGATACTCAATTGCATTGGTTCGTTCGAATCTATATCGTTAATATTACGAAAGGTTTGACGAAAGACTATACCGGCAATATTGAGATTGTTTTTATTTAGCGTTCATATCTTTATACAATCACAATTTCAAGTCGATAGTGAAATTTCTTCAATTCGTTCAACTGTCGACAGTGCCGCCTCTAAGCTAGATTAACGTTCTTTATCGTGATTGTTTGTAGCAACAGCTTAGCTAAATTTAGTAATAGTGGCATCACGAATAGGAAGATTGGATAAACACAATACTATTAAGTAGGATGTTTAATCTTAATGCATATGCAAAAGAATTTTTACTCTCTTCCTCTGAAAAAGTGTCGAACATTAAAAAATATGATATACACCTGCCAAGAGCATGGAGTTTCTCAAAAAAAGATTAAAAGATAATATCTTCTCTTTTAGACGACTGATGTACGGGGAGACCCCTGTATACAATCTTATAACAGTCAAAAAGTGGCGAAATAATCTCTTTCGCTGATTAAAACTGATCTTTCAAGTTTGTATGTTATAACGTGCAGGGTTAGTACGGGCATGCACTGAATCTTATTAGTTTAGTGTATAAAGTCCAAGTGTCTAATTTCATTTTACAGAACCAACAAAGATAAGGAACACATATCGAGAAACTTATTTTAGCAGATTCTATGAAAACGGTACCAATCGAATCGAAGTATGCATAGCAATAGAAAAACACTTCGATGTTAACATTCAGAATACAATTATTATTGATGTAATAGGTTTCTTAGAGTCTATGTTTATCAATAATATTTATGGACGTCCCAGTCAGCAACATGATCTTGATTCCATACTTTCTTCTCTGGTGGAAGGCATTATTCGAAAGAGTACTTTTACTACCATAGTGACAATATGGAATAACCTATCAACAATTATGAAAAGAAAACGCGGGAACGAAGGAATTAAATATAACAACGAAACCTCAATGACATACTATTGACTTGTCCGTTCCCAAAACTTTTCTTCGGTCCATCACGTTCTAACGTGAGAAATTTGCTTTTGATACCAATAACGTTTTTTTTCTTCATAAGAATTGAAAGGCGTTTGAAGCTGTATTATTCTTTATTTTAAAAATCTTTAATGCAAGATCAAAAGAAAACTACGTAGTATAGATGAATGGTTCCAACAAAATATTCGTCTTTTCTTGCTACCAAAAACATTGTGCCGTGATGAAAAAAAAAGCCAGCTATAGACTGACATAACGAAGTTGTAAGTGTTAAAAAGTTAAGGAAAATAACACAAAAGGGCTCTGTGTGAATAAACCAAAATATTAACTAGAGTTCTGGCAAGAAGATCGAATTTACCATTAAACAATATTAAGCTGTTCAATAGGAAAGCTTCATATCAAACATTTAAGTGGTATAAAATAACAACGATAAACTGTTTCGAACACATTTATCTTGTTTTGAAATATTGCATGTACTATTTTTCAACAAACAATCACCTTTGATGCACTACTCTAATGCATATAATGTTAAGATCGATATCAAGTATAACGAATGATTAAATAAATTATTAATCATTAATTGTTTGATTGAATATCGGGATATATGATTGGTAAACGTCCTCGAAGTTTGATTTATTGCTTAGAAAATATTTTTAATATTCGCTGTAGTGAGTTTCAAAATATCGATGAATAGAAATTAGAAAATCAAGTAACGATAAGTAGATTAAAGTGAGGTATTCCAAAAAATGATCGAGTTCATCTAATATCCTTGTTATTCACATCTTCACAACTTATTGAAAAAGTTTCCCGTCGAAGGAAAAGAAGCAAGCGAATGTCTTATTAACGTCTCGATTTTCTGTAAGCTAGTAAAACAATGAAACATTAGAAGAAACGATGATCACTTGCTAGCAAAAAACGGGCCTGTAAAAGGTACTTAGAATTATGTTGAAAATTAATGCAGCAATATGCCGTTTCAGGCCGTGTATGCCGGTATCTTCAACGGTCGACATGAACGCCCTAGATTCTTCCATCAGGTCATCCATGCTTGATTGAACATGGCCGTTTACAGCAATCGAAAACAATGCTATACGAAGTATTACGGCTATATGATGCGTCAACTGTAAACAGTTTAATCAACGATTACGGTTCTCGTTCTTGAGAATATTTAAATCTATCTGTGTTAAGTATTTTCCAGCAAATAGAAACTTTATTTAGCAGACACACAATTACTTTAGTCTGCGTTTTAATTATTTGCCGTATTAACTCTAGAACTGTTCATAAAAGAAATTCTACAATTGAAACATAAGAAAAGAATTCTATCACTATACCAATCTTTACAAAATTCTCTTGATGGTAACTCTAGATATTATAAGTGTATTCACGGATAAACATATTTCTTCATATTTAAAATGCGTTACTATCGAATAATTTTGCCAATACTCTTTGGCCTGATTCTTGCTATGGCTTTGATATTAAACAATTATGAAGAGCATCCTTTTCGTCGTATTAACATTAAGAATGGCAATATCACGATTGAAAAAGCTATTCAACAAATTCCAACATGTACTCAAGA